TAATGGGAAAACACATTTCCAACTTAAGAGCTTCATGTTAGAGTTTTAGAATAGGGGGCCCCAAGGCCATTGGGACCCCCTGTTTTAGAACTCTTTTAAAACTATCTTTGTGTCAGCTATTAGCGGCGAGATTAAAGCCCCTCGATATGTTTTCGTTTGTCTTTGCAAGTAGCGCCAAATGCGCGAGCGCACGTGGCCCAAGTCTCGAGCGGCCTTTGGAAGCAAATGGCGGCGTAGCACTGAAATGAGCGGCCCTTGGAAGCGAATGGCGGCGGAGCACCCGCTCGTGGCACGTGTCTTGCGCATTTCCACAACAATGGTTGACGGTACTTGTGAAAACACCTTTATCAAGGGGCTTTAGGCGAGATGTTTTGGTGGCGCCCTCCTGTGGTTTCCTCTCGTGACGTCATTACATTGCGAACAACAAGTTTGACAGTGTTTGTAATGAGCATGGTGGAAGCTTGAAATCATAGAGGTCTGAAACGAACATTGTCAACAGCGTGAAAATTGAAGTTCTTTCATTACTTTTATTTCTGTCGATGAGAAATTCTTCGCTGACGTCATAGTCAGCATTCGGCCAATAGTGGCAGGCCTACCACAGTGACGCTTTTGGTCGTGCACGCCAATACTTCGCCTCATGGACTAACTGCAAAGGCTGTGCACGCGCGAGCGGACAGCCTTGACTGTAGACTCGCTGCGCAAGTGCTGGTGCAGCCGCCGAGGTTTCATCCAAAGCAACTAGCTCGCGCTTTTAGCATGCGGGCTAACAATAGTCTATGCTAAGGTGAGACATTTTTTTTTTCTTATAACCGTGAAATAATTTTGCACTTTCACTTGTCGCCGCACCCTGTTTCTTGTTCGGTGTTGGGTAAACTACGCACAAATATATATATATATATATATATATATATATATATATATATATATATATATATATATATATATATAAAAATTGAAAAAAAAATTTGCTAGATCACGCGGTGAATGGGGCATTTGTATCCGTGCAAATCTAGTGTCTATGCCATCTGCCATTGTGTAAGGATTTCTAGGTGTACCTGAAAAATATTGCGACGAGTGTCTCCGCAGTATGTGACAGTTTTAGAAGTGCTTCACGCACTAATGATTAGCCAGCGTTAGAGCTCTATAGCCAGCGTGACTCAAGGTGCCGGTGAGCCGAATAATCGTGGAATCTCAAAGTCAACGAAGAAAACGACGAGGGACTTCGGTCAAGAGGGAGCACGTATATATTCCATCAACTCAAGAATAACAACGATCTGTTTCATGGCTAGGTGAGTAGTATTTGTTTCAAATTGTTCAGCATCAGCAGGTCCTTAGAATCATGTTGTTGTTGTGGTAATCTATGGTGTGAAAATGAAATATCGTAAATACTGTCAAACCCTGACACAGGAAAGCCTTATATGGGAGAGAGTATAATGGGCGGAGTAGACTAATAATGGTTAGAACAATTTTTAGATACTCGATAATAAATACCATCGTCTCAGCTCAATAAAAAGCACTGCTTGATCCCAGTACTTTATAATATTTCTTGATACTTATTCGCGATTTTCTAAATAGGCTTTGATTATCTGAAAGGACGAGTTCGTTTTAGAACATCGTTTAGGTGATGAAGCGTGCAATGCGACGCTGCACCTAAATTTAATATTTTTATTCTTTGATTATTTTGCAGGCGACATTTTATTTTTTTTTCTATTGAAGAAAAAAAATTCCTTGCTGTAAGTTGTTGCTCTTCGATGGCCGACCGAGTATCCAGGCGATATGGCGAGTGTTTTCTTCGTAAGTGGCAATGCCGTGCCATGGCATCTACATTTCTTAAAAAAAAAAAAAAAAGTGTTTTCGCAGTTTCTGAAATAAAATATGTTTATGTTTCATGAACTCACGAGTAGCTATGAGATGTTTTGAAGCAGAAGGCTCGTGCCAGCCCTCGTTGGCGAGCACGCGCACTCTCTGCCCAAACCTCTCCGGCGATTTCTGAAAACTATTAATGGACTCTTTTTCGAAAGTCAAAGCCGTCTCGTGGGCAGTATTTCCTCTCCAATGGCGATGACTCTCCAAGTCGAGGGTCAATCACCCTCGACTTGGTGAATTGATGGCGGCGTTAAAGGACCACCTTGTAGAGTCAATTGACCGCTTTCTGTTCTGCTTTCGAAGGCTTCCGCTTTTCCTGGGCAGAAAAGCTGCGTAGCCGCCATTCGAACGTCGGGTTTGGCTCTGGACAATATGCATAAGAGTAACCTTCAAAAACGGACTTTCGTCTTTTGAGCTGTAAGCATAGACCGGTAGAAGCTGAATAGCTTCCAAAGAAAAACGAAGTGAGTTTTTGGCGAATGTTTAACCCCGTTTTTAATTCCGTCACGGTGTCCCCCGCTTGTTGCGTGTGACGATGTTACGTGAACGCCGTGAGCAGACATCAACATGACGTCACCATCAAAACTGCATCCCGCAGACAAAAAAAAATAAATAAATAAAACGCCAAACGTTGGACCTATGAATATTTAGAAGGTGAGCCACGAAAAGGTATAGTTGAACGGTCAGAGAGAGAGAGAGCCTGGGAAAGGCGCGAAGGTGCCAACAACTCATTTGATGGCGTCATGGTCTTCTTCGGAAACATGACGCTTGTTCAGTGTTAGGCAAAATACGGGATAAAAGTATTTAAGTAACTAGATATCTGCTTGACAAAGTATTTAAATACTACTCAAGTTTCTTTCGCTGTAAATTATCATGATGTAGAGTACAATTGCTTAGAAATTAAATTAAATTACTTTTGAAGAAACTTCTGCATTGCGTGTTTTGTGTCGACGTCAGTCACAAACACAATTACACTGTCGCGCAAGTCTGGTTTACAAGAATGGTTTATTGAAAAAAAAAAACAAAAAAAACAGCAACAACAACAATAACATTGTAGGGTTATTTTATGAATTCCAACTGTAAGGAGCAGGATATCACTGATAAATGTTACAAAACATCTCTAAGACAAAAAAAAAAAAAAAAAAGAAGAAAATAGTTTGTTTTAGTTATAGTGACATTGCTGAATATCACGTCCTGCGGCGCACCTTAGACGCATCGTTTAACTACAGTCTACAATCCATATTCTCTATATGGGGAGTTCTCTGTGAACGAACTTTGTATACGGAAATAAGTGAATGGATAACGAAGAGAGCCCGCATGATAGCCACGGCACTGGTCACACCATCTTCAAGTGGGTTGCGTTCAGAAAAGCACTCAACTTTGGAGGATGCTAAGTTGGCATTTCGAGAGGTCATCCTGTTTGTAGTTCGTTTCCTGTCCTGTTCTCTGCTTATGAATGTTTGCGTACAGACAGTGTTCGCGAGAGCAGTAAGTGCCGGACTGACGACACAAAGAAAAGAAACAAAAAGAACCTCGACGTTTTGCTGCAGCGTTGTCAAATATACAAAAAAAAAAAAAAAAAAGTAGAAAGGGTAAAAGCACAGGCGAGCTGGTGAAGAACTTCCATCGTAAACCTGAGACACGGAAAAATAAAAAAAAAACGGACAAAACAACCACAAGTCTCAAACACAGCTTCTAGTTTTCAACGTTAGCAGGGTTTGTTGTTTGGGTGCCTGTTATCATGGATTTGAAAGGAGGTCGTCTGGGTCAGTTTTGGTTGGTATGAAAGGAAGGGAGGTAGCATGTGTCATTGGTTCAGTCCGAGATGTCGTTGATGGAGTGGAGAGGACGTGTTTCGACCTTTGGAGTGGAGGGGTGTTCAAATAAACTAGAAGCTGTGTTTGAGACTTGTGGTTGTTTCGTCCGTTTTTTTATTTTTCCGTGTCTCCGGTTTACGATGGAAACATAAAAAAGTGTTTTCTTTTTGTGTCTATTTCTCATTTTCTTCTTTTTATTATTTTCTTGACATTGAAGTCTGCATTGTTGTCATGGGTCGTTTCCCGTTCTGCGTTGCGCCTCAGTGTGGCAACCTTTACTCTCGTAAAAACACCCCTTTGTTTGAGGATCTTTTGGGGGAAACTCTAGGAAACAAAAGGTGCCTTTGAGAAGGCGAGGGGAAAACCTTCATTCTACGAACTTTGGGATGAAATATATCTCACAATCGGCACAAATACGATATTTTGACGAGCTCAATCTAAGTCACCGTAGCTAATAGGAGCTAGAAACATGATGTGGTTACCCGAAAGAATGTTCCCGTTTGCTCGTGCCATGCCGACGCCACTTCGTACCGAAGAACTCGGAAAAAGGCGAAATGTCAAAAATGTATTTCAGATAATGAGTACAAGATACTCGGAAATGTATTTAAAATACAGTATGAAATACTGTACAAGATACCAAGATACTTCAAAAGGTATTTTAAATACAGTATCTTGAGTAGAGCATTGAGATAGGCACAATCTGGTTTAGACAGAAAGGGAGCGAAAGAAAAAGAGGGGAGGGGCCGATGAATCACAATTTAAATAAAGACGGTGCCGGTAAGATATAAAAAAAATCGCACACCACAAAAGAGAAACAAATGAAAAGAAGATGACGAAAGAATAAAATGCAATACTAAAAATAAAAAAAAAGCAATAAAAGTGACAGTAAAAAAGAAATGCCTTATAAAACAACTCTAAATCATAAGTTCCTGTCTGACTCGGTGGCGCAACGGTAGCGCGTCTGACTCCAGATCAGAAGGTTGCGTGTTCGAATCACGTCCGGGTCAATCAATATTTTTTTTCCTCAAAAAGAAAATAGATTTTTTACTTTTTTTTTTGTTTTTGCTTATCTTTTTAGAAAAAGCAATACTGGCAATAAACATGTCCAGCTTAAAATGACTACTTTTCATGTGCTATCCTTCGACGCTTTTTTAATATATATTTTTTGTTTCGCCTTTCTAGTTATAAGTAGCCACTTTGCTACTAGGTAAGTTTAAAAAGGATACTTATTAGAAGATAAAAGCACCATAAACGAAAGTGAGAACGAAAAAGTTATTCGAATAATTGTTCATTTGCCGCAGTGGCTGCAGCGGGTTCATTGACTGCGGGATTGACTTGTAAACAAACATGGCGCACGGCTTTCTGTGTCAGGCTCCCGCTTCTCTTGTCATCGCCGAAGCACTCAGCAACCAAGTAAACCACGCTGACATCGAGTCCATTATACAGTCACAGAAACATGTGTGAGTAAACGAACGTTACAGCGATAAGCCAGCGAAGTGTCGTTCTTAAGCATCCCTCGTTCGCTTTGAACTGCTTTTTCTTGCGTTGTGGCGAGCCCCCAGTATGGATTCGTCATTTGTTTTCAAATGGGGAGGTTTGTTCGTATTGTACTCTCAATCTCTCTCTCTCTCTATATTTTTTTATTATTGCCTACAGTTTAGACTGTCGTATATCTATTTTTGGTGTTTGTTTCTGGAAGCTAAACAGCTGCGACTCCGTGCATCTCTTCTCTTGAGTTTTCATATTACTACACGAAAACAGTGGCGATGTGCCCAGGAAGACGAGGTTTATCTGGTTTTCGTTTTGCTCTCGCTTATTCAGTGTCGCATGTTGAAGTAAACAATGTTGATCGTCAATTCTGGTTACGACGCTTTTGCCTGCTTTTTGGTACGCCTTTTTAAATTCCTCGTTTCTTTCGTCACACATTAATTGTCCGTCTGCGTTGTCTGTAGGTTGGGAAGATTGGAGAAGACCAACGAGATGTTGCTCAACTGCAATTCCCTGTCTGCAACCAGGTTTGCTCTGGCGAATCAGGAGTTGAAAAAGCACACACAGTTGCTCTTCGATCTGAAAAAAGACCTGGATTCTGTATTCCGGCGAATAAGGTGAGTTGCTTCGTCAGTTTTGTTTCTCTTCTAAGCGTTTTTGTTTTATGCGAAATCTCCGACACTGGCCGTACGCATTGTATTCGACCGTGATGTAGTAATCGGGCTGCAGCCCGAAGCAAACACACATTGAAGACGGGCTGCTGTGACATGCGCCAATGTTTCACAGGGCTGCATGCAGTTTGTAGAGCTTCCAGAAGTATGTAAGCTCAGGAAGAAGTTGGAGGTTGAGGGGTGGGGGGTGGGGGTTGAGGTAAGGTGAGGTGAGGTTACACGACACCTCCCAGAATAATTGCAACGTCATCACACCAGGATGGTTGCAACTCGGCAGTTAATCCGGAGCCTGATACCAAGCATCCTTCGATGCATTGTTTGAACACGTGGCCCAGCCTCGTGCCCAATCAATGGGCTTGGATATTCTGTCAATGTTGGGTCGTTCATGAGCCTGCAACAGTTTCTGTTTTGGTGCTGAAGTCAGAAACCGGGCGCTGCCTGTGGGCATGTCGTCGCTGGTCGATCGCTGCGTCTTGTCGTCTTCGACCTTTTTCCGACCTTGCCCGGACTGCCGATGCCGTTTGGAGCCTTTCAACCACGATTGCTTGTTTTGGCCGTAATCCTGACTCGGCATGTCGTGGTTTCACTTGGACATTTGCACGAACTGTCAAAAACGTTTGTGCCGGCGCACCGCGCAATAAGCAAGATTTTTCGCGTATTGACGTGCACTACATATTTTGCTCACAATAAATGAACATGCCGCAGCGACCTTACGACTATGATTCCGTGTTTTCAGGGTTTATTTCTTGAATTTAAAATTCAAAGGGGGTATTTCGTAACTTACTTCTCGCAGACAATTCAGGTTGTATCGGAGTTTATTTTTTTTAGGTTCCCAATTCTCATAAATTTGAAGTTCAATTTTACTCTTCCAGATTTTTCAAAATTAAACATAAAAATGAGTAATATTTATAAATGGACATGCCTTAAATTCGTAAAAACTCGTCTGTTTTGAAAGGTGTTTTTCCAACTGCGTTTGCCATTGGCACCCTTACCATTAGCGATACTAACTGTCCCACAAGAAATCTTGCAAAAAAGTGTGGCTTCCATTAACGTCAATACTCTGAAATAAGTAAGCACCTGGACGTAATTGATGTGGAGCATATAAACTCCAGCTGCCCTGTCCCCGTCCTAAGCAGCATACAGGTTCATTGCTTTCGCTGTTATACAAAAACTACCCTTCCTCCCTCTAAGAAGCATAAATAGTATGCCCCAAACTGGAAAGCCGAACACTGCCTTTTGTAGTGACCCTGAAGTATTTTATGACCCGTTGTTCTGGACAAACCTTGACGAAATAAATGGCAAACCCTCTCTTGCTACAGCTCGAGATTTCAAAGGAAACTGAAGTAACTGGAGTGTTTTACGGGCGATTTATTCGTAAAACACCCTCGTTTTTGCTTTTTATCCGGCCATCGTGACCTCGAAATTTAAAGTTTTATTGGATAAATTTGAATCGCCAAAAAACTTATTGGTGAGTGTTTTTCAGAGTTTTTCGCACATCCGAAAACACGACACTCTACTTGTGACCTACTCGGACAAGTTCACTTCTCTGTATATGGGATTGTGCCGTACGTAATCGAAGCATTACCTTTGATCTGCCATACACATACGTTGCTGTGGAGATCCAGTTCTGGGTTGTTTAGATCCTAACTCATGCAAAATAATAATTTTATTATTGGCACTGGTTTACCTGTTTCTCACATGATAAATAATGCCCCTTTGGTTTATAGCATTTACTACCGATAAGGCCTCTCGGCATGCTGTTAACACACTTCTCAAGTAGCGTAGCTTGAAGCAGCACACGCTCAAGTGAAAGTCGAAATTATTGAGCGTTACTGATTACGGTGCAACGTGATTGCTCGGTCATGTTTCAGATTTATAGATACACTGCTCTGTTTACGGTGCCTGCATTTTACCCTGCTCGCCTTTTTCATTTGCTTCCGTCATTAACTTGTATATGCAGGTTTCTCAAGATGAAGCTCTCGCAACAGTATCCTGCTGCCTTCTCAGGTTGGTGCATGGCATGCATTTTCGAACCGAGCTCACAAACTAAATGATTTCAAAGATGTGACAAAAACAACTCCTCCGTGTCAAATTCATATCAGCCTGACAGCACACCGAGTTATTCTTAACCGGACCAACCTATTTCATCAGGTTCCTACAGCTCAAAGCACGTATATAGAACAGTGTCCAATGTTAATTTCTTCAGTTTTTTTTTTTTCCTTGTTGCTTACCTTACGGAACTTTAGGTGTTTAATCAGCACAGCATTATTATTTTAGGGGAGATAGGGATCACTTGAAGTGATCTCATTACACTTTTTTTTCTTTCTTCGGAAATGCACTTGGGGAGTTCTTTTTTTACGCAGTGAGCTGAGCATTTCTGGTTTTGATCTACTGGGAAGCCTGTAAACTGAAGGTGGCTTTTAAAAGACATATTTCCCAGAGTGATACAAGTTTACTGTGTACAACTATATACTTTTCACTACAGACTCGTGGCAGAGGCAGCACAGAAGGGTACTGCTAGCACATTGTGTTCTGTTGAGGCCCTTCTAGCACTGGTGCGCCATACAATTTTGGCATTGCCTTCATTTAATTTTTTATGTCACTCTCACTTTGTCCGCACAGCTTGCAGCAAGGTTTTCAACGTCCTCGACGAAGAGGACGAACCGGAAGAGAAAGTTATCTCCGCAAAGAAAAAGGCTGTTGAACAGGTGGACATTTTGTGCGACGCAAGCAGCGCTCAAAAGAACACTGAAAGCACCGGAAGCCCGTCCTCGGCGAAGAGTTCTACAACCTCCTACAACAGTGACGATTCCTAAGGCGGCATTTGCTATGGTGACTGGGGCAATTGGTGTGCTTACCCCATCCTCGATTTCTGCCTGTTGATGCCATAGAAGTGTCGTGCTGTTGCCTGCCGGGATGCCATGACAACAGCCAGAGTGGTGTTTTCTCTACCTTTTTGCTTCAACTTCTATGACCAATCGCTATGATCATGACATCCGACAGCATGACACGCCGACTGCTGTTAACACCATTTGTCGCTTTCGATGCATGGGCGTTATGGGACGCTGAGCACACTACAGGAGATGTGTTTCAGAGGCTGTAGTGTTGACACTGGTATCTTATACTATGCTGATTTTCCTAACATTTTCGTCGGTCCGTCACCGCGTGGAAACAGTGAGATGTTATTTAGGTTGAACATATTCGTCGTTTCTTTGTCCGACCACTGGGCCATTCGACCATGTGTCACATGCAACTGACATCTCAGAGATATATTTATATTGAGGATCGGTTTTATGTGAGTAAGTATTGAACCATAGTGTTTGAAGGAGGAGCTTATTTTTGTAGATACTGAAACTATTTCTTGATCATTTTGATGTCTTCAAAGATTATTTTGTGGTTTTTTTCATGAAGTTCGTCAACATTTGGGCGGTTTGAGGGTGCAATACGTTTTCTTGTCTGATTTTGTCTGCCTGCTCAAGTAAAGTAAATTTTTTATTGGATTTGTGTTTTTGTTTTATTTACTTTTAGCTGCGGAAATTAAGCTATCTACTGAAGTATTGGAATATGGTGCATTTAAAGGTATATATTGAATTTCGATACTGTATTATTTTTAAAAAATCGCAAGTTGTGTATCTAGAGGATTTTCCCTGCTTTTATGACACTCAATGAAATCGCTCAATCTTGTTCAGTAGCTACTTCAAGCGTATATTGATAACAGCAAACTGAGCGGGTCTGATCAGAAAGGTAAATGCACCAAGTCTCATCATCATTGAGATATGAAGGAGGATAAAACGAAGCAACGAAGTTCAGTCGCACGCCAGTTATCCAGACGGCGCGAGTTGTTCGTTTTATCTAGAATAACTGCATAGGCTCTGCTTGCAAGCAAAGAATATACAGTTCCTCTAGTTTTATCCTCGTAAATATCATAAATTTAACAAGATATAAGCACCGTTGTTGGTAGTACTAGAGATCAGTGGTAGTACTGATTGTACAGCGTCAACCATAGAGTTATTATAATGTACGCTAGAGGTTCAAGTGGCGCTAGTGTGCTGATGCAAATTGAAGCAGACAGCAACCAGTCTAAAATTGACTTCCCGCAATGCATTTCTATGGGAAAAAGTGAGTGCATTTTCTCTAAGAAAATGCACTCACTTTATTATAAGAGCAAATATCCCGAATAATTCGTACGTGCTAGGTAGGTTGGAACATTTCTCAGTCAGGCCGACGAAATAATTGGTCAGTTACGGTGTTTTTCTTTCAAATTCATCGCATTAAAAACGGTGCTAAAACAGCTTCGTACGTGTATTTATGTGCACTGTCGGACACTGTTAGCGCGAACACAACGTCGGCGCTTTTCAGCGTGGGGGATATACGTGCCAAACGAACGAAGAACATCTGGAAATTAAGAAAGGCGACAAGAACTACGCAGTAACACCGGATCAGTAACTACACGTGCATATACGATCAAAATTAATTGAAGGCCACGTAATCTATTCCTATTTTAAATAAGTAAGTACCGTTTTATTCTTTCTGCTCTGAGCGAAGCTAGCTGCTTGTTCTACGTTCAAAATATCACTGGCACGCTCAAAATCTTTGAGAACAAGTGCCCGATAAAAGCTGCCCGGCAGAGAAAACAATACGAAGAGACAACTTTTATAGCCCACGGACTTTATTCTCTACGTTTTGAACGTTTTTATCCGCTCATGCACGACGGGGTCATTTTTATATAGTGACAGGACTGGCATATTATCAATATATAAGCGTCACCGGATTGCTGGCGAGCCTTGAACACACTCTACATTCCTTTCGATTGTAATTTTGCTTCGAATCGTCGCTTGTTTTTACACACCTGCTGCGGAACACACGTTCGGGACTGAAATGTAGCGAAGTTAAACATCGGTCACTGATGAAGAAAAATGCGCCAACTAAAGCAATTACACTTTTACACTGTTAATCAAGGTACATACTATTCGGTAGGACCCAAATAACCAGAGTGTTCCGTGTTATTTTCCGGCGAAGAGACAAAATGCACGCGCGCTTTCCCATAGGAATACACGGGAAGATTGGAAAAGTAGACTGGTTGCTGTCTGCTTCAATTTGCGTCACGGAAGTCGCATAGACACTAGCGCCAGTTGAACCTCTAGCGTACATTATAATAACTCTATGGCGTCAACAAGATAAAAGAAGCAATAGGTCGGGAAGTGGCGCCATCTAGCGAAGAGCGTTCAAAACGCGCTACCGTCTTGCCATCTATGGAGTGCAAGCTCAACTAAACCGACTCGTGGCCATCACGCGGATCCTCGGGCAACCACCGCATTTTCCGCCGTCAACTCGGAGCTTTCCGAGCCCCAGGTATGCTGCTGCAGCTGCCTGATCCGCCGACTCGTGTTCAAGCCGCACACTTCGCTAACCCGCCGTCATGTCAAAAGCGGCCGGTCTGTTCCGTCCCCGCCGCAGTCTGCCGATGCCTTCGCCGAGCCTGTGATACCCCCAAACGTGTGCGAGTGCGCGGCGGTGCCGCAAAAGTTCTCAACTCGGCCCGACGAAGAAACTTCGCTGCCGCCCCCCTCAGCTAAAACATCCTGGTCGTCGGCTTGTCGGAGAGTAGCCTGTCTCCATCGTCACTCCTCCAAACTGTGATACAAACAAAGACTTTCCCAAGTCTCGCCACTTCCAAGTTCTTCCGACATGATCCTGAGGAGACCGGTGTCCTTCTACTTCGTGCTCATCCTCGTCACGGCACCTTTCTTCACGCTGTTCTTCATGATGCAAAAACCGGGTAAGTCGTGCATCGACCTAACAAAACAAAAAAAAAAGTATCGTCCCGTTCTTTTTAATAAGGTCAAGTAGTAGTGGTAGTAAAGTCGTCAATGACAGCACGAGAGCGGCAAAGGCGCCTCATTTCATTGCACGCGCTCGGTGCCTTCGGCAGTGCTTCGAGTGCGGTTGCACGCTCGAGGTCCCCGCGAGACCCCGAAGAGCTATCGAAGGCAGTAAGCTCGCGCTGGAGGCGGGACATCTACAATACTTCCCTGCCGTTCTGATTCTGTCGGTGGTTATGGTAGGAGTAGAATGCTAGCACTCACGACTTTGGGAAGAGTTTTTCGCGAGTCGCTCCGATGCTACTTTTCATTTTTGTGTATGTGTGTGATTATTATTTTTTTTTTGTTACTTTCTTTGTGCTGTTCCGCGTGGTGGGCTGTGTTACGCAGTACTGTCGCACGCTTGATCGGTTCGCCGCCGTTGATATCGTATTCGTCGTGCGTTTTGTCGGGCGCTGTTGCCTTGCTTCGATCGCTGAGTCCTGGATTCACGGAAGCATTGGCAGTTTTCCACCCGGAAATATATATGTGCCGGTGCGAGTTTGTTTTGCTATTGCGTTTGGCAAGGTGTTGGGATCACGACCTATATTTATCGATTCCCGTTATTAACGTAAAAGTCTGCGAATTTTATATATAACAATACATTGAGTGAGCACGACCAAACTCGGGATATTTGTCGAACGGCGTGGAAAATGATTGCTCAAAGCCACAAACCGTAGGCGGTTTTATTAAGGATGATGGTAACTGAACAGTGGATGGCGAAGGTAAATGTTCAAAAGGTAATATCTGGATAAGACGCTAATGTTTCAATGAAAAGGAAAAAGAAAAGAAAAACAAAAAAAGAAAACCGTTTGAGCAGTAACGCGTAAAGCTTCTAGCTTTCAGTTCATATGAGCCATTTGGGGTCAACCGTGGTATAAGTTGAGCTAAGGAGGATTAAATGAATAAGAGAAGCTCAAGTTTAAAAAAAATTGCAACCGTTTCAGATCAATTTCCATCACAACAGTAAAAAAAAAAAAAAAATAGTTGGGTTATTTTGAAAACATTGAATAAACCAATTTTATTTAATCTAAACACAAATTATTTTTTATAAATAATATTATGTTGATTTAAATCGCTGTAGCTATAAAGTAGTGACTTTTCATAACTATTTATAACCTGGTTGTAACGCTAGACCTGACAGTTTGATTGATCAACCCGTCCAATCACTGAAAACAACGCAGAAGAAGGAATTAGTGTGAATTTAGAGTGCAGCTTAGTTAACAACTTTTTATTGAGTAAGCCCCGACACAGTAGAAAAAGAAGTCAGCTTGACATTTTTAGGTTAGTGAAAAAGGTTTCTTTGGCATTTTCGTTGGCGTTCTGGTTTTCTTTCAACAGGACATTACTTTTCTAGTGTTACATTCTTTCGCGTCCTTATTCACTAGCAAGATGACGTTCTGTAACTGGCGATAAGTGAAATGGTAAAAAGAAAACTCGGGCGTTTCGATTTACAGTGTTTAGCCTGATTAAAATCTTTCTTGGTTTAGGATTCTTTGATTTAAATAGAAAACAAATGCACGTAGAGAGCATCGAATAATAAACAAACGGTACATAATTACAAAAAAAAAAAAGTATTATTTTTGTGGAAGAGGTTCGACATAAATCATGACAGTAAAACCGGTCTGATTGAGTTTCCGATTTAAATCATCTTGACTTTTATTTCCACCCTGGTTTACATCATGTTCTCAAACTTTGGCGTTCTGCCGAACCGCTAGCGTCCCATTCCCGCGGAGTTTGAGCTTTCTGGGATCCATAGTTTATTCGCGTGTGCCGAAAAACACGGTTCATTTTTTTTTTTTTTTTGGGGGGGGGGGGGGGGGGGGGGGGACGTACAACGTCGTGCTTTCCCCTCATTCCGATTATTTCAGAGTTACAAATAGGCAACGGTAACGCGAAAACTGTCTGGATCGCCGACAATTTTATGCAAATGTGATATTTCGTTTAATTCTATACTGAACCGGGTAATGTGCGTGTGTGTGTGTGTGTTTTAGGTTATTTTAGTGAGATGACGAATGTCACGATTGTCGCGCTTTGATGATGTTTGATTAGTCCCATTCGCTCGTGGAGTCGGCTGTAGCGTCAACTTCGGGCGAAACGAAGTATAATAGAAATTTCTCGTCAGTCGCTCTTGCCGGTTGATCGCCGACGTCGTCTAAATTTCTAGACGACGTCTGCGATATCGGGAACAAAAACGTCGCGAGAAAACTGCAAAATAGTGGGATGGGTGGCTCCCGTGATGCGAAAGAACCGGGGTCTTGTAGTCCTGATGAGATAACTCGATAATCGTGTCCGTCGCATGCCTTCGTGTCGTGGCTACAGGGAACCGTGGCACTTAGGCCGCTCGCTTCAACCTTCGCCGTATCCCACGACAGTGCAAGCGTCGAGCTTCGCCGCTTGGCACCGGAGTGCTAGGAGCGGCGGCTGACCTGGGGCGAGTGCCTGGGCTAGCGCGATAGGCTCGGGTATTATGTTTAAAACTATCCCATGTATATTTTCTTCGGTCTTGGTCGTAGGTTAATCTCTCTCTCTCTCTATATATATATATATAGCCAAAAAAGATAAAAAAAAAAAAAAAAAAAAAAAAAACACACCACGGTAGTCACTCTAGTTCCCGTGCAGCTGTCTATCGAAAGACCAGTGGACTTTGAAGAAGTCGAAAAACATGGATGGTGCTATAGAGAATTTGGCAGCCTTGAAATGGCGTCGGCTACTCCAAAGTGGACTTTGACTTAACTCTGCTTGCAGCGCCGCTAAAAAGACGTGTCACCCTTAAATCACCAGTGTATACGCTTTCGTACTATTTGTACGTGGTGGTTTTTGCTGTGTGTGATATTAGAGTCCTGATTTTGGTAGGTTCATAAAACTTGGGGGACGCCTTCTAATTGAGGTGTAAGCGGATATGCAGGTTCTTGTTGGCATTTTTATTAAATTATATTTACAGGCTAAATGAGCTAATGAGTGTAAAATGGGGGAGTGGAGAGAGGTTTTATCCAAACTGAAGGTTTGCGCTGTGCATCCAGTTTCAAAGAGGAACCGTCGATCATTATCATAGTTGAACTCATTTAGAGAGGCAAGTGCTTTTTAATTTTCAATTCAAGTGTTGTGTTGACAGAATGTTGTCATATGATCTCTAAAGCATCAGCGGCTGCTTCAAACCAATATTTTGCCTGCTACAGAACCCGCGACAAAAAGGTCAATTTCCGCTTCCAACACTGCGCTCCGCAAACCATCGTTGTTCTTTCTTTCAAGAAAACGTTTTTATTGAGCGAGAAAGATGGAAAAGAGAGGAATAACATCTTTCACTCTTCTCGTCGTTCGCTATGGTGCCTCCGTGTTTGTATGTTGGTCTGCACAGCGTCCGCGCGCTTGATTTGACGAGTCTGTACGGGGACGCCTATAGATACGCTTTGCCCCAAGAAGTTTCGTAGGCCTTACGGGTCGGACGCGATTTCACGGGGTGACAGCCGAAGCTTGAAGCTCGACGACGAGCCAAATGTCGAGTTAATTAGAATTCAGGACGAACTCTTGTATGAGCTAGAGATATGTATGATCATGTGCTGGTCGTACTCGCCGGCATGGAGCCGTTCCCGCTAAAAACAAATGACAACTCTTCCCGGAATGTTTTTTCGGAGTGCGCCGAAATTTCAAACTCGTAAACGACGTAAATTGGGGATCATTCGCTCCCTTCGATGCTATACGTAAATCAATGTTGGAAGGCTGCTGGAAAACGGGAGTGCGTCAAATCCGTCGAAGCCGGCCGGCGGAGGCTTTGACGAACACAACATTGTGATCTCTTTTTTTTTTTTTTTTTTTTTGCGGACTTTTGTGTGATTTTCGGTAGGAAACAAGTGTTTATTTTCACTTGTTATTCCCAGCATTTGCTTTTTCGTTTCTTTTATGAAACCTATCACGGTGTAACTCCCTGTCCCGAATCGCTGCTTTGATCTTACCGCGCTGGATTCTATGAAGGGGAGCGGCGAAATGGATAGCGAACGCCGGCAAGCGTTGAGTTACAGCCTCCTCGCCTCCTCTATACTGACAAAGCCTGGCAGGTTGCCACGAGAAGCGGCCGTCGAAATGGAAAAGGTGGAGCGGGAGACAACGGATGAGAGGAGAGCCACGTGACTGGCGCCCCGCTGCGGCGAGGCGCCGAAACACACTTTTCCCGAGCGAACAAGTGTGTTTCGAGTCCTCGCCGGTGCCAAAGCTGTGCGCTGACGTCCAGGTTTTCCGAAAAATGGCTCTTTGACGCTCTGCGCTACCAGATCCTCGCGCTCCAAATCTGCGCCCGGGCACTCTATGGTTCCGTCGTCGAACTGCCAGGCTTTGTGAGTAGAGAGGAGGCTAGGGTTGAGTTCACCGATTCCGAAGTATAAACAGCCCGGGTCCATTGGTAACGCCGTTGTGTTCGGGGCCTGGACTGATGAAGATGCAAGGGGCTTTAGCAACGAGGTGATAATGCGAAAAAGAAAATGTGTGGTGTGTATGTTTCTACAGCCTGAAATTAGTCAGCCACAGCGGGTGACTTGCCTCCCAGCTGTAGATGAGCAATTGAGACAGTACAGTACAACCGCTAACCCGGGGTCTTTAACGTGCACCACGCAGTACTAGTGATACACGACCGCGGGCAAGGGTGTGGATTGAATCCAGGATACCCGGGTTCTGCAGCGCGAGATTTCGCGCCTCGTATACTCGGAGCTGGTGTGCGCTAAATAGTGTGTGACAGCCCACGCGGCCACCGATCCCCCCCCCCCCCCCCCCCCCCCCCCTCGACGACAATCCGGACAGCACTGATCTCTATTGTAGTAGGCGGATCGGGAACCCTCGTGTGGCGCCACTGGCGGCCATTATCTGACACCAGGCAATACGCGCAAGTCTATGGGAGAAACACACAAACGTAGTATTATTGAGGCTT